CGAAATAAATTGAATTAAGTTGTCGCGGTAAACAAAGCTCTCGAAATGTATTTATCGATTTCTTTTTATCGGTTTGAAGAGTAGAGAGAAGTTAGTGGAGAGAAACGCGAAGATGCGGAGAGATGCAAGTCTCCAAGCGTCGCGAGATCGAAAACTTTCGGCTTCCGGCCGAAATGGAACGTCGCGGGATATGTCGACCGATTGTTGCGCGAGGAAAACGCAGCGCGCAAAACGCGCGCGTTCAAATGTGGGCCAACGATGACGCCTGCGACGATGCGTCCCGAAGCAGCAACGACGGGAACGGCGAAGGAAGAGCATTTCCTCGTTCGTGTCGCATCACCGCCGCCGTATAACAAAGCAGAGCGGTACACGTGTACCTTGTTAAATAATGCAACCGCCGTTCTTTCCATTCACGTGGCGATACGTACGTGGTCGTCGCGCCTCGCGGGCCTCTAGCGCCTCGCCGCCGCGCCGCGTCGGGATGCTTATCGCTCCTATAGCCGACGGATCGCCCGCCGCGACTCCGTTCCCATTCCGGCGCGATCGACACGGCCGGTGGTGCGCTTTTAGCGTTTTTTTCCCCGTCGCATCGCATCGTTCCCCCTTTTCCGCGCTCTGCATTTTCGCTTCCGGATCCACGAAAAGGGATACCCATGACGAGAGGCGCCTCGCGAGTGTCTCGGTTGCCCTCGTCTCGGTCATCCATGACGAGATAGCGCGATTTACAAAGCCGACCATCCTCGCTGCCGAACGTAAGATAAATCTTCAATCCCCCTCGTGGAATCGGCGCGCGATCGGAACGCGGACAGGAAATGTGCGGATTTAACGATGTGTTTGTGGTTTTTTTACGGGACAGTTCTTCTACTGTGCTAGATCCTCTTGGAGTGTAGTGCATATGTAGCTGTATACACATATATATTGCAACGAAAGTGTGATAAATTGTGGTGTTTCTACAAAATTATCGGACCACGTCTTGGGACGACGAAAATTTAGATCGAGAAATAAAGATCGAGCACGCAGGTGATTTTTAAGGCAATTAATTAGCGCGTAATTATTTTTCCTTGCGCTTACCTTCGCGAAATTACGAGTTACTGCACGAAGGTCTCAGATTTATCAGCTTCTCATCTCGAGAGTGTTTTCGTACGGTGCGGCGGGCGGGACGTTTAATCCGCAAGTCACCGTGAGCGCGGGATTTGGTTGTTCTCGTTCCAACGTATTGATCTCTTACCCGGCAATTGATTAAGTTTCGATACCCATGGGCATGTATGTACAGCGTGACGTAGTCAGCTTTACCGGACGACGCGGACGGACGTAAGAGGGAGGAGATTTCCCAAACCGTGGAAACGAAAACAATTACACGGCGGAAATGTATGCGCGTCCCCGCACGCGACACATGTCTCTTTAATTCACGGAAAGCGACTGGTCGTCCCGTTTTTCGAGATATCGATTTTATCGAGCACATGATTCATTTACGATAGCAGTGATGTAGCACGTTGCGCAGCGACGACGTGTCTCTCTTTCTTTACGTGTGTCGTGAATGTCGTGATGTCGTCAATTTTTTCGGTGTCGGAATAACCGACGTTACTCCATGAATTTGAAAGTAGATCCAGACATGGTACACAAAGAATTTTATCGCAAGAATTCTGGTGGGGAATAAACGAACGTTGTCCTTATTCCACGGCATCGATTTAATCATCAAGCGAATCGTATCCCGGCGAATTTGGTGAAATGAATTAAGTACGAGTGCGAAATAATTCAGAAGATCGAGCGACGCTATTGAGAGAAATCAATATATTAAACACTGACAATGAGTTTATTAATCGCGCGCGCGCAGTAACTTTAATTATCCCCCTTGGAGCACTTGCTTTTAATAAATCTATTTGACTGTTTTTTTCCTCTATCTGTCCATCAACTCGGGACATTACTTATTCTGCTAGATTTATATCTATTTATACGATTTTTTGTTTTGTCGTGTAAGTATTTTGTCGTATCGTTTATATTTCTTTTTTTGTTATTATCTTACTGCAAATTAATGTTGTTTTATTGTTATGTATACTGTCTATAAAATCTTTTTAGTTTCCCTTCTTTCTTTCCTTAAAGCATTTGCTCCGAGGTAAATAAACCTAATCTACTTATCTTATCTGTTCTATACATCGGGTTATCTATCACCTTCTCCCATCCCCCACCGTTCGGTGCTCCGTGTTTTATCGTCACGAAGACACGTGGTTCGTGCTACTTATACGTGCCGATCTACTTTTAATATTCACATGATGTCACTCGCGGCTATTACCACGTCGGATCACTTCTCATTTCTTAAATATTTTATTTTAATATCGCATTTTATTGCACATCATATAATGTTCCCTCCCGTTAAATTTCATATATAATAATAACTTGTAAAACAAGTAATTGAAAAAGATCCTGGTATATCACATCCTTGCATGCTTCAAAAGTGACATTCAAAATATTTAGATTTACTTTGAAGCAAATGCTTTAACAGAACCACGACTGACTATGCCATTTTTTACATTTTTCTTTCCTACTATCGTTGACTGTAGTTATGCGTAGACTGAATTAGTATTGATAAAAATGCAGTATTTAGTTACCACTTTGTCCACTTATCAAAAAATCAAAAGAATAATATGGGTTATAAATAATCGCCGCGATTTTAGTGAAGGAAAGAAAGATGGAAAATTACAAAATATTACATAGACAATATATAACAGCAAAACAATATTGAATCACAATGATAATAAAAAGATAAATAAATATAAATTAATGACAAACTAATTATATAACAAAACAAAAAATCGTAAAAACTAAAAAGAGAATGTAAATCTAGCAGAATAATGTCCTGAATTGATAGACAGATAGATAAAAAAAAAACTGTTAAATAGTAAACTTAAAAAACGTGATTTTAAAGTTATTCCCATAATTGAGTTAGGTAAACATTGTTCCATCAATCATCAAAAGTGAACTAACTTGACTAAACTGAATTAACTAACTTAACTTTAACTTCTATCTCAACTTTCCTTTCTCCATGGAAAGATATCAAAATCATCACAATTCAAAAAGAATAATTTTTTTAAAGATTATAAAATGAAATTACAAAAATGATATTTTATCATGTCACTAAAAGTATGTTCTTTTTTTTTTGTCGATATTAGTTGATTAGTCAATAATTTTCAAGTTAAAAAGCAGTTTTTCCTCTTTTTCGAAAAATTTAATCTTTTGAATTATGTCACTTTTGAAACAAAAGTACAACATTTGATGAAATATTAAACAAATATTAAGCAAAAATAAGAAATTACAAGTACTTGTTTTACAATTATTTAGTAATAACATTTACAATCCGTTTAAGGCTCCTAACCATTCAGTTTGTGACGTCAGAAGCGAGAAAACGCATAATAAGAATTTTTGCAAGATACAAAATGTTTTTCAATAAAACAACACTTGCAATCAATAGAACAGACTAAAGTACGTTAAAATACTGTCCTTTTATTTCGTTAATCAATAAATAACTGTACAAATTGTGCCGAATTGAATTGTACCGAAAACGAAATAAGCTATATATTCACAGTTACGATAACTGTCAAATTGATATATAAAATAAATATGATTTAATTCCCCTTCTCGAAACAAAACGAGAATTTTCAGTATATTTTTTTATAAGTGTTCTACCGATTGCAAATACTGTTTTATTGAAACATATTTCTTTTTTAATATATTTTGCAAAAATTTTTATTATGTGTTAACTCGCTTTTAATGTCACAATCTGAGATGGAAAATATAATAATAAGTGACTAGGTGCTTTAAATCGAACGCTTTCGTGAACGAATTCTTCATGGCGAATAAAAAAAAGCAATCGATTGAATTAAATAGATTGAATAAATTGCAACATAAGACTATATGATTTTACGATGTTACATAGCGATAATGGGTTCGAATTTGAATATGTTGATATATTAAATATTAAATGTAAACAAGTCTCAAATATATAAAATAGAAACAAGTTGCCAATGACATAAGTCTCCTAAAATAATATCTCCTTATTTCTCAAAAATTAAACGTTGCATTTTAATTCTGATAAAAAGAGCATAATATGTTTAGATGACTAAATAAGTGAAAACCCATAATTTACTGTTTTGTGATTTTTTTTATATAAAAAGCAACTAAAAACGAATTCTATAAATGCGAAAATTAAATTCTTACAATTTTTTTCTGCAAATTGTGTAATTTAAATAATATTGGGTATATTATTGATAATCGTATAATAATAATATAATCGATAACAATCGATTGTTTTATATTTGTAGCTTCCTGAAAATTTTTAATTTATGTTTTTCTCTTTCTTATTTTTCTTATAATCCGGTTTTATATTTAAGACAGACCTAAGGACAGACATAAGCTAATCCTAATCTTTACGTACTGTCGCGTTATTTGTGTCAAACAGTCCTATCAAAGCTGAAGGCATTCCTGTAGAAAACCCTCTCCCCCCTCTCCCCCTCCTCAAAAACTGTTGCTTTACATGTTTGCGTCTTGTGGAAAAACAAAATATACATATAAATTAATAAAAAAAATGTTTTATTTGGACTGAAAAGATTCTAGAAATTCTCATACGTTAACTTGTAAATTTTGTAACTAACTCCTGTGAAAGAAAAAAAAATAGAAATATGTGGCATTACTACCTGCTATGTCAGTTTTGGGGCTCATTTTGTCAGACGCTTATTTTTGCTTATCTTATACGAAAAGGTAAAGTGTTACAAAATTTCGAACAATATTATAAGAAACTGTTGTACCATTCGATAGACTTTCTATTATAGACTGTCATTATTACGATTATATTCGCAAAGGACTTCTTCTTTAAGAACCAAAAATAATACTCCTGGACAAGTGCCTGGACAAGCTAGCCGCCCCGCGTTAGAAATTCATGCACAAACCGCCGTACATAATTCAAACGCTAATGTATAATAAAATGCGTGCGTATGTGTGTTTTTCAGGATGCAGGAACTGGCATTCCCGCGCCGAAAAGGGATCCTCGCCCCGGTATCGGTGTTGGTGCTGCTGATACTACCATTGGTCGATTTACCCTCAGCAAACGGTGAGTCACCTACGAATGCCGGGCCGGCAGTTTGTATGCGTGCTGCAAGAGAGTACATACGTATTATACACGTATTATACACGTATACGTACGTGCGATCGCCGTACGAGCGCGCGTATATATGACGCGCCGCTCACCGTATCTTCGATAATGCGCGAACAATGCGGGAACGGCGAATAATTACGTCTATTCGTCCGTACGAGCGCCCTTGAATGCCACTTCACCTCGCTTCTTCGCCTTGCATACCGCCGCGACGTATCGTGATGTTTACTTGTCACCTTAAAGAACGTTAAAGATCCCCCCTGTGTGTAAAGATTTGTTGCAACGACGTGTTAAGTGCGCGGCGTTATCGAGCGAAGTCACCGCGCGAGAGTAGTCAGCGCGATAGTATGTATCAGTATCAGTTGTTCACGTTGCTCTGAGGACTGCTATTAAGGGGATGACATCTATTTTACTACCTACTTTTTTTTATCTCTCTCTTTTAGAGCTGCATACACGTGTACTAGGGAGGAGAGACGCGCACGAATCTAAAAACCCTCGGTGAAAATCGGGGAAGTTATTTGGACAATTACGGACTCTGTACACCGAAACAAATTCAAATTAACTCGGAATTTGAACGCTTTATTGCTTATATTTTTATTGCCTTTTTGAGATGATAAAAAAATATATGAAATATTAATCATTGGAATGTGTTTTTATTAATTTCGCTGCGTAAAAATGTCATGGGAAACGTCCGCGGTATTCACAGAGATAAACGCGTTTGACGAAGTATTTTCTGTTTAAGAGCGATTTATTTATTCCCTATCGAAATTCAATTCGACATTTTGAAATGGACGGCGGTCCTCTCTGTCCATTTCATCAGCTCGTGAAATTTTAATATCAAACTGCGGGATAATCGCGTTTTAAGACTTTAAGGAGTGACGTTGTTTTGAGACTGATCGAAATAGGTTTGCGTTATTTATGTATCTTCCTCATTGTATATACCCTCGAGAAGAGCAACGCGCAATAAACACCCCCCTTTATCTTAATAAACATGTCGCAGCTCAAGAATGCGTCTCTCGAGATATGTGTACAACGTACTCGTTAAGAGGTAGTCATCTCGGTTTTCACAAAGAAACCGTCGCCACGTGCATGAGAAGTCGAGAAGTGCATTTAACACATTTTATAAAAGGAATATATATTTAAATAGCGGACTTGGACACTCCATTTCCGCTACGAGGAAGCCCATTCGTCATGTTTCCCCGCGGTTAAGTCGTCTTCTTGGGTTTCCACGTGTTCTCGCGCGCTTCCATCCGATTTCGGTGCACTTCGCGGAGCGCGGAGAGACTTCGTGCGCTCTCTCTTTCTCTCTCTCTCGTTCGCGCCGCGACGCAACATACTCTCGCGCTCGTTAGCTCGTTAACGAGTGGTCTCTCCCCCCCCCCCTCTCCCGCTTTTCTTCAGCTTCGCGCCTTGCCTGGGGCGGGCCTCTCTCAAAAAGAGCTGTTAAAGAGCGGAGAAGCGCGAGACGCACAAAACCGCTGCCGCCTGTCGAGCGGCTGTCCGCGCGCCTGCGATATCTGTCGCCGCTTCTTCTCGTCGCCGAAGACGATCGCGACGGAGACAGAAAGAGAGAGAGAGAGAGAGAGAGAGGGAAATGAGAGGGAAAGACGCCACCCCCTCTTCTCCCTCTCTCGAGCCACGTCGAGATAAATGATGTTCCTTCGACGAAAGATGCGTGTCTAAAACGGTCGACGTGCGCTCCTCCTCGCCCTAGCCTCCTTTTCGCTTCGTGCCAGCAGTTCCAGCAACTGCTTTGCTGGCTGCTCGGTTTGCGCGCGCGGTACGCACGTGCGCGCGTACCGCTTAGCATACAAGGTGTCCGAGAACCCCCCGCTCGGAATCGGAGCTAAAGCGCTCAGAGGGGGAGAGGGAAGGAGAATAACTTCCGAGCTAGGGGATGCGATAACTTCCGAGTTACAAGCGAACAAGCGTGAGTCTCGTGTAGCCACTTCGCGGCCCTTCGCCGCTCGAACGGAGGGATCGGATCAGTAATCCGGCAATCGGTTCAATGTTTATTTGAACGTTCGACGAAACGATCTCGTTACTCTTTCCTGACGTCTCTGGAACACTTTAGAACTCTAATTAGAGATGACTTATGTCGACCGCTATCGGGTATAATGGCCTCCCACGAAACATCCCCCGCGGGAAACACCGGCCTCCATTTTCGTCGACGTGCCCGTCATTAATATTAAAGGCTGGATCGGTTCTGGGACACCCCGTAGACGCTGTCGCGTGTGTATCCCATTTCCCTTTGCGCACTTCCCCCCCCCTCCCTCCATCCGCCTTCCCTTCTTCGTTTCCTCCACCCTCTCTTCCCGGCTATTTCTGACGTTCGCCGTCGCTCGCGCCGCGCCGCCGAGCAAGCAACCACCCCGAAATGTACGCACGTTCGATCGAAACGCACTAAACATCTCGAGCTCGCGTTCAAATACACGTACGCATGTCGAACGCGCGTTTCGGACCTTAACCCTTCGTCCAAGGGCGTTTATCGCTCCCAACTCGTGGGACCGCGGTCTATAAAAATATTTTATGAGGATCCCCCAGTACGCGAACGACTTAATAAATTTCATTTTATAAAATTGACATTAACGTTGACGTCACATTTATATTTCACGTTTGAAGCTGCATATGATCGATCTCCATAATTTATCATAACCATGCTGGTCGCCTTGTGTTTATCATTTTGTTCATTTTGCCAGAATATTCTGGAAAATAAAGATCGGGTTCTATCGAGACGAAACGGTCCCAACGGATTGAGGCGCTTGAAACGCTTAATGGTATGTTCCTTTGCCATTTATAACTCTCGAGAACGAGGGCATTCGATCATCTGCACACCGTGTCTGCTCCATTCCGCCTCATGCGCGTCTGAAAACTTTCCGCTAGAGCATTCTCGTCCTGTCTGGCAACTTTTCACTAGAACTCGCTAAATAGCGTCGCTTGGCGGCCGGTGTGACTAAGATAAACAGGCGACGAAGGCTGGGAAAATGACGGGTAACGCGGCCCGCGTGTCGTTAATTTTTTTTTTTTTTTTTTTCCCCTCTAACTCGCGCGTTCCGAGCATTGCTCGTCGCTTCGCCACGCACACGCGACGCGACGCGACGCTGCGCGCAGTTCCCCTTTCTTCATTCTGACTCTCTCACGCCCCGACCGCAGTAATCGTGTTGTATTGGGCCCGATAGCAATTTTCTAATCGTCCGCGCCTCTTAATGAAAGCCCCGTCCACGTGGAGCCTCTTAATTCTCCCAATCAAGCGAGCCTTCGCTTTCGGATACTTCACCTGAATGAATGTAGACTTTGATTTAAAAAGAAATCTTCCTTCGTCGAAGAAGAATCCTTTTAATGAATGAGCGTACTGTTCTTATAAATTATGTTATAACTATAATAGAACAAAATATAAAATTCGAAGTGAGACCTCTATCTTCAAACTTCCCCTATATTAATAATTCAGATATATCCACTCAAGATATTTACACTGTAATATATACAATATTATATAATATTTTTGGACAATCATTAACTTAGATAATATAAAACTTCTTTTTTTAATTTTTATTCGATTAATTCTGAATTTTAGTCTAATAAAATTTTAATATACAAGATTTATTTCAGAAGGATTATTTCTTTAAACATGAAATGTTTTTTTATAAGAAATTTCTTCACGAAGAAAAAATATAATTTTGATTTTTAATTTATTTATTGCATTGAAGAATTTATCATCAAAATTGAGAATGATTGATATAATTCATCATTGAACATCGATCATAGGAATTATTGGCTAGGATATGTTGGAATTCATCATTGTTGTAAGGTGTATTAAGAAGTTTCTCATGTTTCAGGAGCTTGTGAGTTTCCATCGAATTGGTCGGGAGAATGGTATCTGTATGGCAAGAACGGAGTCTTCATAAACACGACCGTTCTCGGGGATCGAACATGCGTCGAAAGAACGGACGACAAATACGTCGTCTAGTAAGTATCATTTAAATCAACAGAAATATTGAATCACCATATGGTCGCGCGTTTCCACCTGCGAAATGATTCGATTTGCACCTACCAATGAACGTTTTGCTTGTAGTTTCAGCGGCGAAAACTGTTATCACTGTATGATCATCAACGGGCGCCATGAGAACGTTATTCAGTATCGCGAAGGTACGTCCATTCTGAATTCACTGATATTAGATATAAAGCTTTAAAGTGCGATTCACGGGAAGAGATTTCATTAAGAAAAAAAAAACACTGACCCGCGACAATCGTTTCCCCAGGCGGCTGGTGCAGCCAGGAGCGAACGAGTTTGGAAGAGATGTGCGCGATGATTACCTCGGACGATCCGCTCATTTCGATGTTCCGCGCGAACTCGAAACCGATATCTTGCCCATTCAACGGGGCATCGTTCACATTCACGTACAATCGGGGTTCCGGCGAGTGTGCCATGCCTATAAGCCTCGCGGAGAAGTGTACTGACGAGAGCAAGCTCCTCCTCAAATACCAGGCCTGCCCGGATGTCACGGGGACCGAGAGTAACAGTAAGTCGATCGTTGCAAAAATATTGTCCGCGTATTGGGTTTACCGTAATAACTTGGTTTATCTTAATTTAACATTACACCGTACTTCTACAGCACGCGTGTGAAATACTTCAACTTATGTTGCGAGCAATGTTTGTAATTAATGTTACTGTTATCTAGAGTTCAATAGAATCAAGTAAAGATATGTGTATTGTAAAAGTAACCGGTAGAATATAATTATAATTTACAATTAATTTCTTTAATTTTTTTTAATTTCTATTATTTTCTTATTTTAATTTTTTTTAATTTTAATATTTTCAATATTTTGTAATTTTAATTTAATTTTTTTTACATTTCTATGATTTGGCTGGAGATTTTTAAAACATATTTTAGTTTTATGCAATAGAACGCAATAACATTTTTATAATGCTCTACTAACAATAAGATAATTCATAAAATCTGTAATTAAACGTTCGAAATATATATTTTATAATAACTCAAATTTTTTTTTTTAAATAAAATATACATATAAAGTTTTTGTACATTTTATTACTTACAGCCGAGGAACTACAATGCCTTGCCAGTTGGAACGACGGTCGAAATAAGTATTTGGTGGGAACCTTGAAAGAGAGGAACGCACTGGGTGATGCTAAAATCTACAGGTGAAACATGTTATTTTAATTCCACGTAACGTATTACCCAAGGTCCGTGACGGCAGTGGCTTTTGTTACGATTTTGTCGCGGTATACTTATGTACCGTGCGCATCAAAGTTTGCTTATTTATCTCCATTGCACCTGTACGCCAGATGTTCATGTATTGCGGTTTAAACATGTCATATTTCGTGGCGCATTGTTTACGGTGTGAAAAGACTAGCCGGACTTGGTAAGGTGAAAAGATGGTTAACCGCTCATTTGTCATCTTTCACGTAGCCATCATTATCATTATTATAGCTTTCCGTTTTCTCCATGAAGCGTATATAGAGATATAGATATTTATTACTTTAGTTTACACATTGCCAAGAAAGGACTTGGTTTACAAAAAACACTTAACCTCACATCCATCCATACCTTATTATAGCGCAGTGTATGTATCGCATGCTACTAGTTCATCAAATCCTCCATCCTATTTTTACTCCTAACTCTTAATCGCCTTTTATTTTTTGTTTATATTTCCTCTTTTACCTACTTTTTTCGATCCTTATTTATATACAATCCATTTGCTACTTTATTCTATACCTAATTTCTATTACAAATCTATTTCCTTATCACAGTCCACGTTATCACATATCTTTACTATACCTATATTCATTTCCTTATTATTACACACTTCCTGCACTACCTCACCTTCATCTCCTAACCATTCTTTTCTCATCTTCAGTTCTCTATCTCTCTCCTTCCATAATCTCTTTAATATATTTGCTTTTTTTTATCTAAATTCTCATCCCAGATCCTTTTCCTAATCGTCTCTCTTTCTTTGCCTAACTCGTCGAACCATTATCTTGTTCTTTGACAATTTGTTAAATAATGTTTAATAGAATCGTTCTCTTCGTCGCAAAAAATGCATAGTTTATACCTTTCCTCTAGCCAATATTTATTTGCCTCTTCGAAATTATCGCATCTTAGCTTGACTAGCGCTCTTACACCTTCCCTTAAGCTTGTTCTCTCTAAATTTTCTTTCCTTAAATAATTTGGTCCCCTTTCCTCTGTTCTTATCTCCATATATATCTCTGATTATAACTTGTCTGTTGAATCCTCCCTTCCTCCTTTGTATTTCTCTTTCCTTTTCTATTATCTCCGTTTCTATGTTCCCATTTCCCTCTCTTACACTCTCTAAGTCTTCCAGACCATTCCTATTGTAATATTCTTCTCTTTCCCTACTATATTTGTCCTCTCCCTTATGTCTTTATCCTTCCAACAATTCTTCATCAAATTCTCCTCCCCCATTTTCAATATCCTATTCTTCTGTTCTCTATCTTGTACCTCATTGCCCTGATATCCCATCCTATTCTACGTTTTTCCATTCCTAGCTCCCTTGTTATCAGATATCTAGGTGTGCTTAAAGTCCAACCTAAATAACCATCTCACATAATCCATCATTATTTTTTTCTAAACTCTCTTTTTCCTTCCATCCCCATATTTCCATTCCATACGATATCACACTTTGCACTAAATATTTAAACAGGATCCACCTTCTTGCAAAATCGTTCCTACACATTCTTTCCCCCAATCCCCACACCTTCCTAATAGCTATTCTCCCTTTCCTACATAACTCCTTGATGTGATCCGTATAATCTCCTCTCCTATTAAAGACAAATCCTAAATATTTGAACTCCTGTAACTTCTCTATGTTTTTATTTCCCTATTTCCAAATCTCCTTATTATTCTCTTATTATTCTCCTTATTATTCTCTCTCCTACCTTTTTTTGAAAACTAACACTTTCGTTTTCTCCGTACATAATACTAGTTTTCTCTTACCTAGGAACCTCTTAAAAATATCTAACATATCCGTTAAAGTCTCTATTTTTTGCCACCATCACAATATCGTCTGCATATCGCTAAACTCCACACTTATTTTTCCAATCTCTATTCCTCCTGTATCACTTCTCATAAATTTCTCTTCTATTTCCGCCAGATACAAATTAAATAAGAGTGGATTTATCACGCACCCTTGCCGCACTCCTTTCCTCGTCCAAAAACTTTCTATTAACCCTTGATTTGTTCTTATTATCACCTCTGTCTCTTCATATATCCTTTCCACATTTTTGACCAGACTCTCTCTCTCACTCCATTCCTTCTCATGATGTCCCACAGGATACCTTTGTCCACGTTGTCAAACGCCGCCTTCAAATCCGTTCATGAAGCGTATATATACACAGATGTACTCGTATGTACGCCGATAGAAACGCGGCCACTATATAACGCGAACGAGGAAAGTAAGGAGAATATTTTTTGAAAAATTCGAGATCATTGTCGTTTAATGACGTTTCCCATCCGATAGGTGTTTCCTGTACGAAGAAAAGTCTCATCATCAGGGGAAGATGATTTATTTACTTGCGCAGTCCGGCGACTCGACTTGCAACGGCCTAACCACAGTTTCCGAGGGTTCACCCACCATAAAACTTATTAAAGGTAATTGTGCGAACGAGATAAAAATGTCTTTCAGGATCAATAAAAAAAATGATTGTGCCATTTTCTTCTTCTGCGTTATTCCTTTTGTTAACAGTCGACAAAGAGCACAGTAGGTGCAAATATCCGGCCTGGGTAACTCAACACCATGACTGGCACTCTCTCAATGGTACGAGGAGCTATCACTTTACGAACAAGAACGCCACGCTGAGAGTGAAGATGCAAGCGCAGAACACCGACGGCGAAACCGTCCATGAGGAAAAAATCGTTTGTCATAATCTGGAGAAGTCATACCCGAACGACAACATGCAAGGGAATAAAGTGAAATTGGTTGCACACGTCACCAGCGGCTGGTGAGTGATTTCTCAATTCTACCGCGGCTTTTAATTGTACATCACGGTTGTTCGAATTTGCTAATCTTTCTTACTTGTGATTGCAGCGATATTGGTTACGTTTGCATGATATTCCACAAAAGGGACAGTCATATCATCGAGATACAGCAGTCAGGTGAGCGCACTTTAGTATGCGGCATTAGAAAAAACCAGCATTGCGCAATGCATACGAAATGGTTTTTTTCATCTTTTATTGCAGATCAAAAAGCGATTATGCCAGACGAAGCGTGCTCAATCTCGGATCCCTCCACGATGCCGTATACGACCTTAATAAGTAAGTGGCTAATCCATGTTACGTCGTCGCTCATAAATATTGATACAGGAAACCTGTGCAGCTTCGTTATGGTATCGCGGTTTAGTGGGCGAGCAGCAAAACGTATGCAAATCACGTCTATTTTCGTTCTACAGCCACGTTCTTGCATCAGAGAAGATGTCCTAATTCAGGACGTTACGAGATTCTGGATTTTGCCCCGTCGCACGCGTTGTCGGCCGTCGTGTCGAGACGGCAGCAACGTAGCGAGCAGTCAAGAATGACCAAGAGGCGGACTTGGCCGGAGAACATCGACGACGTGGAATGCAGAAGTACGGACGTTCAAGTAGGCTGCACCTCGCCGGATCAAGCCGAAATAACAATCGGCAATACGTGCGAACATGAGAAGATTGGTAAGTACGAATGGAATATTTGTTTCTTTTTCATAATTCATAAGAAAAGAAGATATGCGAGGAACAAGAGAAAAACTAAGGACTATATTTTGGCAGCCTATTCTTGTCACGGCAGCTGGGAAGAGAAAGGAATGTGGTATACGATAGCGTCGCAACGGAATTCCGAAATTCCCGGCGGTCCGGGACAAACGTTTTGTTTTTCCATGCTTCTCGAAGGCGTGAGAGACCGAGGCGGTAGGCAGAAGCAGCAGGAAAAAGAGTTATGGCTGTCGAGGCCATCGCGTACTTGTCGCGAAAGAGACGCCAAGGATGAATGGACGTACAGACTGTCCAATCAAGGTAATTACAAAGATATTTTTATGCAATTAAAAATAATCGAAAAATTACATTTTCACGTTAAGAAAATTGATATTAGGAGAATTTATCTCGTTACCGAAATTTGTAACAGATGTTAGATGCAATTTGACAAAAGTAATGTCAGACGTTTAGTATTTCAAAAATTAATTAGATGATATACAATTTAAGTAATGATAAGTATTTAAAAATAACCGAACGGTATCGTACTAGAATAATTTATTCCTTAAAACAGCGAGATAATTACGAGATACTTTATCATCATTCGCCCTAGTTTCAGGATGTGTTACACTATGTTGGGGCTTAAAGGCATTCTAAGCAAGCACGGTATAAATATTCAACATTTGCATTCTGTTGCAGGAGTTTGCGAGGACGTGATGAAGGCTTCAAACGCGGCGTCTGCTCCGTCGTTGTCCCAGCTTCTCTTTATCTTACATATAGCAGCTTACGCCGCTATTAATACGCTATGCGTATTACTCTCGAGATGATCTGCAGCTATTATGTAAGACTGTCAAAGTACTGTAATTTCCAGCACGAATTCTCAGGTATTGCGTGTTTCTGGAAGTGTATATAGCTCAAGCAGTTTGATAGCGATTGACCGATCGACGAGCTGTCAATGCGTTAGTAAGAGTGGAAATGTGCAGCTATATTAATTGCAGCCGACAATATTAATTTCCGTTTCGTTGCCTAATTACGTAAATCGGTGATTACGATTGTTCGCCATTGAAAAACAAAGCGATTTATACACGTTCGCCAAAAATTATTTTTTTATACATACAATATTTATTGCAATTTATCGCAGACTAGTATTCTAAACGAGTGACCAAACTCTAGACTACTAGTGTTTCTGATACAACGTTCTCAGATAGCAAAATGCCAGCTGTATGCCAGCAATTGCCAGTTGTAAACATAATTTTAGAGTAGATTTCTATCTACTTTAAGCTTGATTTCTATCTCATTACGACTTGCTAGCCATAATATAACAACAAAAGTGCAGCAGGAATGGTAGGACCTTGACATGATGTCTAATGCAAAGCCTTTTTTTCTTATATTTCTACCGATATTAAAGAAACAATAGACTTACACTCGACTGTTGCTGGAGTTCTACTAATATTATATGCAACATATAGTTGGCAATACATGCTGTAAGCAGATTTGGCTATCTGAGTTTATTAGCCATGTACTGCCTGAATTGTTGATTAATTACTCACAATAGTTCTCAATATGTTGATAATTTTTTATTGCTCATACATTTTTCATTTCTATGCGAAAGAGAACCGAGATGATGTTGCATATTCAGGACTAGGCAAAGACACCGTAGATATGTATTTCAAATACAAAAAATATTCTGTGAAAACTATATATATATATATATTTCAAATATAAAATACTGTTGAAATGTGGTTAAAAAGATACAAATGATATTCTTGAAAGAAATTTGCTTCAGGATGTAAGGTAACGAAATAGTATCTCGTATTTCAAACATTTACGCCACACGTGTATTTGTAGTATTCCAAATACGTGTATATGGGAGCAACCGGGAGTATCAATTTACGCAAGACCCTCGACAGAAAATTTTTGTTGCATATTACATATCGACTCTCTCGAGACGGCAACTAGGGAGCGATCGATTAAGCCTATTTAGAACTTGATCGGTTCAACCGTTATCGAGATCCGATAATCTCGAATAAACTCGCTGACTCACATATAGATATACACGGCTTAGTCTTGGGGAGTTTATACTTGACATCCAAGACACTACCGTGTCCTCTGACTTCTGTAATTCTCGGCATTGCCCTCGCCTCATAAGACCAGTTGTTTCCAGATCAAAAGCTACAAACGTTTGAATCTCCATTCAACTTATTCACATGTCGATCTTCTCTTCTATGCTCTATGCTTTATTATTATCCTGTGATGAATTATTATCTTGTGGGGTATCCAGTGAATACCCTTTCGTTGAAGATAATGCCTGTTAAGTATCTAACGTGCAACGTTTCATGCAGTCAAGCTTTCACGTGACTGTACAAAGGTTTCGTCTTTCACACACTGAATCCTTCGTACTTTACGTAACACACGTATTTGGAATACTATCTAGTCCTGATATAATACTTCTGAAATTACAAAGATGTAATTTACGGGACAGCCTCGAATCACGACCACTTCAGAGTATTTTATACTCGAAGACTCATGTACATTATTAAGTACCATCGCGCTACTGTAAATACGACCAGGGTATAAGTAATCGAGATTTCAATTGGATTATTTTCGAGTAAAGATTGGGAGATATTGCTATAATTATTAATGTAATTAACAGTTCGACAGGTTGAATTCATACTCGGATCTAACGTAATACGTAGAACATAGGTTTTATCTTTTAGCTAGTATATACAAGTTGTACATAATACAATTGAGATATTGTATAAAGACTGTTTCTAAAAGAGTATAACACTTATACCGCTCACGATATTGCATTTTGTCACTGAAAGTGCGTGTGTTTTCAAGGATATTCCCGAGATCGGCCTCGCAATAGGAGATCCGCGAGAATACGACACTCGTGCTACGCTATTGCTGTATAAGTATTCGTGAACCAAAACAAAATTCAAAGAAAAAAGATTAGTAGATTGTAAAAAAAAACATCTTGGGTCGACTTCTAAAATTGATGATATGAATATAAAATCAGAGACGGAACTACATGGAAAAATTTAAGGCTTCTGTTAATTTCTATTGTGTCAAGACTTAAGCAACAATGCCTTGTTAATCTTTTGAAATTGCGAACAAGAAAGAAACAAGTTTCTCTTGACACTTTCTTCAAAAATTATTAACTCTCGATTCCGAAATTAATAATTTTGAAAATTAATAATACTAGTGATATTTTTTTAGAGGAAATTTGAGACAAAACGTATTATTACGTTCAACCTATTGTGTAACATTGTACATCAGTTAATGGCATTAATTATCAATCAAATTTCGATGGGCCTAATGCAAAGGTGGGCGAGTGTGGTATGCATCTGCGGACGCATTTAAGACTACTAGTTGCGCGTGAGTAGTGCTTTTGCATCTCTAGCATAGAGTTAGTGGATGTTGCAATAGATCGATAACGCATCTCGTTATCCCCGATCGTCATCGATGATATACACAGTTCGATCACAGCACGTCATGCATCGAATTTGGATATGAGTGCCGCATTGGCGCCGTTTCGGTCTAATATACACGCTGAATATGTATATCACGCGATGAGGGGACAATTTCTTCTGGACAATTCCGGGTGATACATTTCTTTTCGGCAGCCGTTGTTTTACGCGCGCGATCTTTCTGTGCGCGCTGTACAAATACTGGCGGTTGAAACTTGCGTACTTCGCATGCTTTTTTTCTTCTACATTTTTCATGAATTAAGGATAGCATAACGACTAATGAAGATACTTACGAGCCGACGATAAATTATATACCGTGTTAATCGGTTGACTCCGAGTAACGTTATTTGTATCCACCATCGTATCTCTACATTCCGTATAACGTATTTCAATATGCAGACTCGGATGGTGCAAGAACTTCATCGCGAGGATGCGCTTTATTTGATGTTTCGGAACATTCACTTTTGTGACGTAGTTAGATATTATTAAAATGCCATAAATTTTTTTATTCCCAACGCTTCGGTCGGAATAACATGGCTAAAGCGATAGAGATTAGCCCTCTAAGGACGGCATTGTTTTTTCATTAAAAAAAAAACAATTTTCTTTAACTAATTTTACTCAAAAATAATTCGTAAGTGGAGAAATATATGACCTGTCGAAATATACTCTATCAATGTACATCGATATACAGTGAGGGACAAAAGTTCCGGAACGGCAGATTATTTCAGAAAGTTGATCAGGAGACGCAGTAGCTCCCGCCAAGTATATTTTTTTGTTACACGACGGTCAGGAAATATTTTTGGTTTAATAGAAAAATGTTTCAAATAAAAATTGTAGGATTTAAGAAAATCTATTAGCTGGTGATGTTTATTAGAGCTTTGGTTGACCTTGAAAAACACACTTAAGGTCCACATAAAAATCTTAAATGGAAACCCCCATTTTTCGTTACATATTCTTGTAGCTGACGTCGAGACGCTTTTCAAAACACTATATTAAAGTTATTTTTTTAAATAAATATCACCTAATAATAATATGAACTAATAGATTTTCTTAAACCCTACCATTTTTGTTTGAAACATTTTTCCATAAAATCAATATTTTCTGAAATAATTAGCCATTCCGGAACTTTTACCCCCTGTATCTCAGCATATAATCTTTTTGGCGGTGAAAAGCACTATCCCACAGACATGAAATATTTTTTATGAATCATTTTTTTGGAATATTTAAATTAAATATTTTAGAAATATTTCGTACATTTGTAAAACATTTTAAAATATTACATTAAAATATTTTACAAAAATATTCTAGAAATATTGTACAAATATTGTAAGAAATATTTCTATTGAATTTCAAGAAATATTTCAAAAACTCTGGTTTTCTTTATTTATTCGCTATTTATATTTCAGAAATATTTTATGAAAAATTCTGAAATATTTTAAATTTTGCAATGAAATATTTCGGAAATATTTTTCTGAAATATTTCATGCGATGTGGAATATTATTTCAATGTTCAATGCTACATTTCCATTTTCAATTCTTATCTAATGTACACAGATCTCAAATTTACCGCGAATTTCATATTAAAGTAAACGTTACAAATATGCAACATACTCGTCCCTTGAGGGTAAAATCTTTAAAAACGCTAGTCCGTTTGCATTTGGCCTTCAACGAATGTTAGCGCTAACGCTGATTAAAGCTAAACGGTCAACCTCCTAGAAGCGTGAGTGGCAAAAGCATTCAAGAGAGCATCAATTAGAGCGCATCCCGAGACCGCGTACGTCCACGAAATTTGTACCAGTTTGAGTAACAAGTAGAGATATAATAGCGTAATAAGCCTACATGATATCACGAACGGGGAAGGGAAATCGAGAATATACGGTCCATCACGCGAACCTCAATAGTTTTATATTTTTCTTAAACGACACCGAAATATGTACATATACAAAGTTTTATTGATTATACATTATGTGTGTGTATATATGCATGCATGTGTATTGTATATATATATGCGCACACACAAACACGTACTTGCATACATTATGCCACGTGCTCGCGTAATTAAGGGAACCGATAGGGCAGCGTGTAGAGGAACATGTATCTTACGCGGACGCACGTTCTATTACTACATCTTAGTCGGATCTACATCCATTAACTCTGTGATATCCATCACATCTAGGCGCAAATGTGACAGCCAAAAGAAAAAAGAGAAAGAGAGAAAAGAAACGAACGAAGCTGAGCTCTAAAGGCATTTTTTTACTGTATATATCATATATTTTCTAAATAATGGACTGTTCCGGAATTCAGGAGATTTGTTGACGAGCGAAAGTGTATGGATTCGAATTATTAAATGTTTGAGCATTTAAAATAACGAAGACAGATTCTTATTTTTGTACAGATAGGACGACCTGTCGCGATATCCTACCCTCCCCCGCACACACACACACACACACACACACACACACACACACGCACACGCACACACTTAACACACACACACGGAAACTTTCACACGCTAAGCGAAAAAACGTAGTCGTATACATAATACGGAATATATATTTTACGTAAGTTTTGTAATTATCGCATTATATATAGATGTATCCTTAGCGTTCATCTCCGAGAAAGCAGGATACAAATCTCTAAACCTTTAGACGCCTAGTTCATTGCCATTACTTTTTTTTTTGTCGTCATTACCGATATATTATCAGCGTATTACTAGCGTTCTTATACATTTACGTGTAAAGTGATACACTTGTACAATTTACATTGTACAATTATATCGTTTTACACGCTACTCTGACGACGAGATCTTAATTAGTAGCGACGTAGTGCAGGCCTTGTTACTTTACGCGCGATCGAATGGCGAAACAGAAACGACAACCGATGCCTTATACAATTTCTAATGCCTTATGCGGATCACACAAAAGTACGAAACGGTCGGTTTACTTTCCATCCCAGAGCGTCTCTCCGTGCACGATTTCCTTTGGCAAAATTCGGCTGCTACACACGTGCGTATATATTGACGAATTTAAATTGTCACTCGCCCCTCCCCTCCTCGCCTACGGCGTGAATCACGCCGATAGTCGCGTATTCCCCGTGTAGTCGTGTACACGGCTATATTGAATTCCGGAAACAGATATTATCCACGATGTAACTTTAATACTTCTAAAAGTAAGCTGTAACTTATTAAGGCGTGGAAACGAATAACTGCGTGATGATGGCGCGAAACACTCGCGCGAAAGACGGATGCGCGAAAAGAGAGAGAGAGAGAGAGAGAGAGTGAGAATGAAAGAGAGGGAGAGAGAGAAAATGGGGGAGAAAGATATGAGTCGACAGAAACGATAACTCACCGAGTTTTGTACATCCACATGCGCACACGTATATTTTGTTTATTGCTGTGATGAATTACATTATAAATATTAGCGTGTAAGGCGGTTTGTGAATGCGGCTTTTCTTGCCATTTCTAATATAATTGCAAGCATTAGTCACACTCCCCGTTCGGATGTAAGCCTCTTAAAAAAACCGTACGGATATGGAAAACGACGACCTATTTATCCTCGATGTATTTAATTGTACGATATTTACACGACGGCATCCTTTGTAAAGCGCCTTGGATAAACGAAATCGTCCAGAAGGCGACTCGTCGCAACGACAATTTCGTACGGAAAAAAAGGAAGGAAAGAAAGGAGAGAGAGAGAGAGAGAGAGAGAGAGAGATGGGAAAGAGAGAGGTAGAGAAGATATCCGATTTATTTTGCTACGCGCGTGCGGAATTATGCGAGAACAAACTACACCGAGATATTGTTTATCCTCGCGCGAAACTGACACGGTACTTACTCAACGACGCTAATATAACAGGGAGACTTTTCTTAATAAATAAAAAGATTATTGCCAACACCTGTGTCGACGTAAGCCCTCAACTTCCCTGCCTTTGCTGCCTTTTTCCTTTGACGCCTCCTTCTAACTTTAACTTTGCGTAATCGATAGCGTTGCACGTCATATAATCGTTACCACCAAATCATCTCTCATCGAATACAGTTTTATAATTAGTATCACAAAACGCGCTTGAGATATGTATTAAATTATTAAAGGTCGGCGTCGGCCATGTCGGTCGCCCCTGTCAATGTCTAATCCTCCGTTTTTGTTAGGTTTCTCTAGTGATTTTCTCAACGTCAGTTAGAATGAGATTAATTCGGATCGTACTTGAGTGCAATTTTGAACGACGCCAAGGATTCGCGCTATACTTTATATCAGCGTAAGTTACTAATTGCTTTTTTACCAGCAACTAGCGTGCTGATCTTGTAGCGAACTAACTTGTAGAAAACTAACAGCTG